CTGATTTCGAAAGGAAAGGAAGAGATGCAACGAAGCGCCGCGGGAGAGGAACATCCCACACACACACACACACACACCTCCCCCCCCCCCCGAGCGATCCTGCATGGCTGCCGTAAGAAGGCGGCGAATCCGGGGGGCGGGGGGCAAATTTAACAAAGGAGTCGTTGCCTCGGATCTGGCACTCCGAAGTATTTCTTCTGAATATTCCGGGAGGCTGGAAACGAAGCGGGTCCCCAAAGGGATTCGTCGCGGGAATTGAAGGGCTCCCTCTGGCCAGCGCCGGAATTAAAAAAGGGGTCTTGCGTGCCGTCAAAGGAAGCGGCCAAGACAGCCAAGACACAAAGAGTTTGAGAGATCACCTGATTTAAGCAGGTCTCGGAAGCGATGCTCCATTTCGCCGATCTTCAGACCCGGCGGGGTGGGGGGGGGCTTTCGTGCCGGTTGGGGGAGGGGGGGGGGGGGGGGGGGGGGGGGGGGGGCAAAGGGAGCGCAATCTTTTTAGACGATGCTTTGGAGACGGCAGAACAAAATGCAGACGGAGCCAATGCAAATGTCATTCGGGCCGCTTTCATTGTCAAGAAGGACACACGGGGGGGCTGAAACGCTGCACGCCATATCGCCCCCTCCCCTCCCTTTTCCTTAAAAAAAAAACAAAAAAACAACAACCACCCATTATTATATGCCTGCGCTGGTTTTGTTAGCATTGACCCCCTCGGGACGAATTCCAATTCTCCTTGCCGATCGCCGACTTTTGAAAAGCAACGCTCTTTAAAATAAACCCAACAACTTGCGAATTGACAGATGGCCAGCAACATTACTTTAAAAAAAAAGAAAAAAAGAAAGAAAGCGCATTTGCCATGCTTGGTATCTATTGTTTCCTCTCCTCTCGCCCCAGTCAGACAGGGGGGGGTGGGGTGGAGGAGGAGGAAGAAGAAGAGAGAGGGGGGGAGAGAGAGAGAGAGAGAGAGAGAGAGATCTAATTATATTAAAAGCCTGCCGTGGCTCCTGAACGATTTCAGGGGCAAGAACTCTGGGCCACAAGACGAATGAAGCTCCAGAGCTTCGGCCCGGCCGGGTGAAGAAGTCGGCAATGATTGATGCGAAACGGCCTTGCTGCAAATAAATTTCACGATGTAGCGTTAAGAGGGCATCAGCTTCCCTCCAAACCCCGGCTCTTTTTTGTCTGTCTCCACCCCGCGCCACACTGGTTAAACCCCCCGGCGGCTCCAATATAGATACACGCTTCATTTGCACCTGTGATGTAAGCAAGAATCGATTCCGGATCCTCCCACTCCCCCTCTTCTGCCCCCTCCCCGTCTTCCTTCATCACTCTCCGAAAATATTGTCCTTCCTCGGAGGAAAACTCAAGCGCAAGTGACTCTCCCCCCCCCTTCCGAAGAAACTCCACTCCGCCTCTCATTTGTCCCGGCGAGGTATATAGAGAAATCCCTGAAGTTATTGTCATCCCCAGCGCGTTCGGGTCCGGCAAGGGCTTCCGCGTGAACCCTCCCTCCCGATCGTGGGGGGCTGCCTGCCTGTCCGGCGGTTGGCTGCCAGCCAAACCTCCCCCGCCCCCCAACGCTTCTTTTCCCAGGTAGAGGAGATGGAAAGAAACGGGAAGGGCCGTGGGACCGAGCACTCCCCCCCCCCCCCCAGCAGCCCGCTACTACTCGGGAAAAGGGAAGACCGAGCAAGCCATCCCCAGGAAAGGGGGGGGAGAGCTTTCCCCACACCCACCCGGCCTCCCTCGGACAGGCCAAGCCCATGGGATACCCGCCGGATGGGCAATAATTCCCTCCAAAGCCTGGCTAAGTCCTTGTGGCGTTCTCTCCTTCAGGGCAACCGGCTGTTGCACACACGTGTGTCCTGTCAACGAGGTTGCCAGACTTCGGGTTTCCCACGGAACTCCTCTGGTTGTTCTTCCAGCCTTCAGGTGCGCGGCGAGGAGGCTCTGGATCCCGAAAGCCACGCGCGCCGCCCTGAGCTTCCTCCAGGAAGGGCGCGATGGGAACGACGCCGAATTGCAAAAGCTTTGCAAATCGGCGGAGAGACCGCAGATTCCGGAGGTTCTTTGAACCCCAAACCCCTTGCCGCTCATTTGCCCGCCCGGCGCCGCCACTCGCGTACCTACCTACCCACCCAGCCACCCATGCAAGAAAAAGAGTTGAGATCCTTGAACCATCATAAGCAAGGTCACGGTTGGAATTGGATCAAGGGTTTGGCCTCCCATTTTGTCCCAAAATGGGGGAGGGGGGAGGAGGAGGGGGGTAGCGAGGTCACTTCTTGAAATTCTCTGCAACACTGCCTTGAATCTCCTGTTGAGACTTTCGAGAAGAGATCGGACGGCCATTTGTCAGAAATAGTGTAGGGTCTCCCGCTTGGGCGGGGGGGGGGGGTTGGACTAGATGACCTATAAGGTCCCTTTCAACTCTAGCTGTTATCTGTTATCTCCTCACCACCTTACAACTCCCCCCTCGCGCGATGCCTTTCTACTTGGGCGGGGGGAAAGCCTCCTCTCTCTCTCTCTCTCTCTCTCTCTCTCCAGCCGTTGCCCACATCAAGAAGTATGGCCTGGAACACCCTTTCCCAAGTGTTTGCCAACTCCGGAGGGAAGATTAAAACTGGCAGGAAAAAAAACTGCAGTCGGAAGCACTCCAAGAAAAAGAAAAAAAACGGGCTGTTGTAAGAGCGAGAAGCCCGCAACAGCCAGGATCCCCGCTGCGCCAAGTGCCCGGTTCAAAACTCCCTTCGCTTGGCTTTCTGAGCCCCGCCCCCCTCTCCGAGCAAAAACTCCTATGTCAAAGGTAGCGGGGGCGGGGAAGAGAGAGAGAGAGAGAGAAAGCGCCTCTCCCCACGCGCGAGAGCGCGCCCGCGCGCCCCCGTCCGCAGGCAGCCGCCTCTGGACCCGTGTGCCAAACCCCACCCACCGTAATGCCTTGGGGGATTAGCCACCGATGCGTGCCTGCAGACCACCTGGGAAATGGGGGAGGCGGGGTGTCTCTCTAAAAAGGAAGCCTTGAACTGCCCACCTTTGATCCCGAAGGGAAGGCGAGCTTTTTCCCCAACCCCCGTCCCTTTTTGGCTGCTTTGGGAACACCCAGCCACCCCGGTCCACCTGCACCTGCGTTGGTTGGGAGGACTTTCTGGCGAGAAGCCAGAGTTTGCTTTCGGTTGCATCCTCGCCATGTCTTTAATAACAATAATAACAGCAATAATAATAATAGTCATAATCATCATCATCATAATAATAGTTAGTAGCCTATCGGATCTGTCCATCCCGGGACTGCTCTGCTACCAGCCTGACTAAGGGTGGGATCGCCTTAACTCAGAAGCGAAAAGCGAACGATATGCAAACAAAAAAACAAAACAAAAAAACAACCAAAGCGCCGGACTTCCTGCGCTTTATTGGAAGCAACCATCCACGCAGCGGAGTTATTCCTCTCGGACCACAACTCTCTCTCTATCGCGCGCGCGCGCTTCCCCTTTCCTGCCCAATAAATAAATCCGCGATCCAAGCGGGCTGCCCCCCCCCTCCCTTTTGCCAATATAGAAAGGGAGCCAAAACAGAAGCCTGGGGGGGGGGACAAAACCCCAAAACCAAACTCCTTTTCCTCTCGCGCGTCAAACCTTTTCCGCCGCCCCCCCCCAAACTACTGGAGCGTTTTGCAAAAAGCCAAACTCTTTCAAACTGCAGTCCGACTGCATGCCAAGACAACCATTATGCACCCAGTTTCCAACAATCGACCTTTCTCGGCTGGACCCCGTGCGGACGGCGCTGGAAGCCAAGCCGGACGCCACGCACAGGACTCTGACAAGCACAAATCACCCACTCCGGAATCCGTAAAAAGAAAGAAAGAAAGAAACAAAACCTCGCCAATTCTAGCAACCCAAGAATCCGGGGTGAGGGGGGGGGGGTTGGGAAAAAGAAAAAACCTGCAAGCGCTTATCCGTGCCTTCTCAAAGCCCTGAACTCTGGTGAGAGGATTTTCCGTCACCACCGCGAAACAAAGTAGAAGGCATATATATATATATATACATTATATATACATATACATTACATATACACATACACACACACACATTCACACATGCATACATACATACATACATACATACATACATACATACATACATACATACATACATATATATATATATATATATATATATATATATATATATATTTCTTATTAATTTCCGAGCGAGAAATTTGTTAAGTGTTGCACAAAATAATAATAATAATAATAATAATATTGGAAAGAAAAGAAAAGAAAGAGGGAAGACGAGATCAGCTGGGAGTCTGGAGACACACCAGCTTCAGTCTGGCAGCAAGCATCGGAAAGGCGCCCTTTTTCATATTTAAACCACGCGGAATATGTACATCTTTGATTCCTACTTACGCTTTCAGGGGGTTGTGAATGACAGTCGCCATTTTGCTACAATGTAACAGAATATTGTGTCTCGGAGTTCTAAAGGTTCGCTCAGGGGAAGCGGTTGGCCAATCGGGGAAGCGGATACCGGCCCGCTGCCCAATCAAAGGATAGAGGAGGAGCCAGGGTTCTGCTAGTTATTAGGGGAGCTGTCAAAGCGCAGAGGTCACTCCCTTTCTGTGCAACTGTTCAGAGAGCAGGTCTTAAAGAGACAGCAACATTAAGCAAAAGGGCAATCGTCACTAAATTTTAGGACAGTTAAAACACTTTCTGTAGTCATCTCCGTCTTTTTTTTTTTTTCTTCTTCTGAAAGGACGCACAGCTATAAACAGACTTACTCATTCACGATCTGTTTGTAAGTCTGTGACGCTTCTCGTCTTTTATCCCTATACAAGAAATGGGTTCATATCACTTCACCAGGAGGGGGGGAGGGGGTTGAAAATCTCTTCCTGCATACCTAAAGCAAGCTGTTTCGGCAGCATACAGGATTTTAATTAGCCCCATTTGGTTCCTTTGATCTACAGCCACTTTCCCTTTAGGTTTCTTGGAACTGTTTGCAATTGGATGAGTTTAGGGCAGCACCCTTCCCCCTCTACTCGGAATTTCTGACAGGCGTCCAGCCTCTGCAGCCCATGCACTCGTTATATAATGCACAGTGGTCAAACCCGCCTGTTTGTTTCACTCAAAGATAGTTTATGAGGTGATCATCTTGTTTGACATGTTGAGACTTGACCTCTCTGATCTTTTGACATGAGGAAAAGAAGGGGAAGGAGCATTAACTATATAGCTCTAAAAAAAATAATAACTGCAAGAAAAGAAGTGGAGACATAACCCCATTTCTGGGGAAAATCACCAAAACTCCAAGGCGTCTGAGTTTACCTGTAGCTAATTATATTAGTCTGTGAATTAATTATCCAGTTGAAGAAGAAGAAAAGAATTTTAAAGTGCTAAGACTACAATTAAACTGATTTGAGACAAAACTTATTTAGGCTAGGCTGCAATCCCATGCAACACTGTAAAGTGTCCACGAGACATATTACTGATAGGAAACTTTTTGCAATCATGTACTAACTTATGATGGGGTGACGAATAGAATATACAACTGAGTAAGCATTCCAACAATTACATCATTAAGAACACAGATAAATAACCCTGCTTTCATCACCACCACTCCTTGCAATAATGCTCCATTTTGAATATCACAGGAAGCTATACTGCAACAAGTCAATTCATTGGTCCACTTAGCTCAGTGCTGAATACTCTGATTGGCAGTTGCTCTTCAATGCTGCAACCTATGACAGAGCATATTCCTTGCATACAAAAGTTTTTCCATGTCGGTCTCCCTAGATATTTCACCTTTCCATAAGCAAGTGGTTGAGTACTGAACTCTGGATTTTAAAAGCATGGATTCTGTTGCTTACTGCCAGGGACGCATTTGGAGAAAAAGCATGTGTGTTCTAGAATATACCATCACTTTATTTGGATCACAGAAACCAAAAAGAGCCACCTGGCTGAAAAATAACCCATGACAAAATGTGTGTACCTCAAACGAATAATGACTTGGCCAGAACTGTTGGAGGTCTATCTGGAAAGACAGTGAATACTGAGGAGAGTGGGCGGTCATGATGGCTGCTCCGCAACCATTTACTCCTTAGAGTCCTTCTCTCTGTGTTACGCACTCTGTTTAGTGCTTCCTAAATCACGGAGTCTGGAGGAAGGATGGAGGATGGATGTTGTTCCATCGGCAAGGATTGAAGTAAGGCCCCACCTTCTGCTAATAACCTGTGCATAGTATGTGTAATGGGGAAAGTTTTCTTTGTCTCAAGCCACAAAATGTCCTGGCTGCTCCTGCCAACTTCTGCAGTTATTGGTATTGGCAATGAAGCTGCTGCAGATTAAGTCTCCTTAGGGCAGGAAGCCACTAAGCCATTCCATTAGAGCTCCCAGCTCTAATTTGCAAACATCTAGGCCAGGATGGATTGCTCTATTGATAAGCAATTCCCACCATCAGGAAATTCTGCATTATGCTCACCCTGAATTTTCTTTCTTTTAATTTTGACCAGTCGTCCTTGTGTTGTTCTCAGTCTCAATATAGAAGAGGTCTGCCCCTCTTGCAAATGACAGTCTTTGAGATATTTATAGACATCTATCACATCTCCCCATAGTCCTCTCTTTTGAAAATTAAACATGCCCAGCAGCTTTAACCATTCCTCATGGGGCTCGGATTTTAAACCCCTTTATCATCCTGGCAGCTCTCTTTTGAATCCACTCCAATTTCCCCATGTCATTTTAAAGTGCAGCACAAGTGTGGCCTAATTAGCACAATGGCACTGTTGCCTTCTACTGTTTGAATGTGATCCGTTAATGCATTGCAAGGCGTTATTGGCCATTTGACTTTCTATTTGTTTATGTTACGATTGGTGGCTACTAGTATTCTTAGTTCCGCTTCATCTGTCTCCAGTGCAGTACCTTACTCAGATGAAAGACTTTATACTTGTCACAGTTGACCATCATCCTGAGCAATATGGCTTGAGTTTGGAGTCTGTCAGGTTCCTTTTTTTTATTGCTCATTTTGCTCTTTAATCCACCCAGTTTGATGTCATCTGCAGACCTGACCAGCAGTTCTTCCATTCCATCCTCCCTGGCAGAGGATGGTCATTTTCAAAAGTAATGGAAGCACAAGGCTGAGATTGGAAGCCAGGAAGCACCACATGAGTTTCCCTCCAGAACAATGCAGAATCATTTACTCTTTGGATATGGATGTTCTGTTAGTTGGAAGCAGAGGTGGCATTCAGCAGGTTCTGACCAGTTCTGGAGAACCGGTAGCGGAAATTTCAAGTAGTTCAGAGAACCGACAAATACCACCTCTGACTGGCCCCACCCCCATCTATTCTCTGCCTCCTGAGTCCCAGATGATTGGTTGGGTCTTCTTTTGTTGCCCTGCACAGGAGAATGGAGCTGGAAAGCAGGATGGGGAGGGAATGGGATTTTGCAGTAACCTTCCCCTACCATGCCCACCAAGCCATGCCCACAGAACCGGTAGTAAAAAAAAATTGAATCCCACCACTGGTGGGAAGTCCACCAGACAGCTCTAGCATTTATTTTTAAATTTTAAAAAAACCTTTATTGGAGTTAAATTATTAAAATACAAATATGTCTATATCTAGCATTTTATCCTCAGATAAATGCTTTACAGAGCTCAAGGAACAATACCCTAATAGCATTTCCTTGGTCTATCAAACTAATCATTCTTTCATGATCTGTTCTTGACAGATACACGGGGGGCTCCCGGTAATAGTAGCATTCTATTATTAGGAGCCTCGGTGGCGCAGTGGTTAGAGTGCAGTACTGCAGGCTGCTTCTTCTCTCTGCCAGTTGTCTACAATTTGGCAGTTCAAATCTCACCAGGCTCAAGGTTGGCTCAGCCTTCCATCCTTCCGAGGTGGGTAAAATGAGGACCCAGATTGTTGGGGGCAATACGCTGACTTTGTAAACCGCTTTGAGAGGGCTATAAAGCGCTATAAAGCGGTATATAAGTCTAAGTGCTATTGCTAGTGCTATTCCTCCCTAGTAGATGGCAGACAACCTGTTCTCATCTTCTGTCCTTATATCCACTTTCCATTTGTTCTGATGAGAATATATTTCCTAGTAAGTCCTCAACCTATGATCACAATTGAGCTCTAAATTTATGTTGCTAAAGGCGAGACATTTGTAAAGTGAGTTTTGCCCCCATTTTACAACCTTTCTTGCCACGTTTGTTAAGTGAATCCCTGCAATTGTTAAATTAGTAACACGGCTGTTAAGTGAGCCTGGTTTCCCCATTGATTTTGATTGTCAGAAGGTCACAAAATGGGATCACATGACCCTGGGATCCTACAAGCATCATAAATATGCCAGTTGCCAAGTGTCTAAATTTTGATCCCATGATCCTGGGGAATGTTGCAACGGTTAAGTGTGAAAAATGGTCGTAAGTCACTTTTTTCAGTGCCGTTGTAACTCCGAACAGTCATTAAGGAAAATGTTGTAAGTTGAGGGCTACCTGTATTGTTTCATAGGAAATTCATACTTCCTGCAGTCATTTGACTTTAGTTTCTTTCACTTTCTTTTTCTTCCTTCCATTTTTTTCTAATTTTCATTCTTGAAACTACCTAATCATATTATGTCCCATACAGTACTCAGAACTTCACATTACTCTTGTATGCTTCTCTGATTCTCAGCCAGTTATCACAAACACTTAATTATACCTTGAAGATGTACTGATTATACTTTTGCTATCTACTACCAAAGAGATGTTTAAACCACATATTGGAGATGGGGGTTTTAACCAGGGGTGGGATTCCACTTCAGTGACTATGCGTGTGTGTAAAAAAAAAAAACATCAGCTGTGCCGCCCGGACAGCTGAAAAGCGCTGTGGGTGTGCAGCATTTGAAAAGCCTCTTTTTCCCTGCTTTTTCAACCTCAGCTGTGCCGTGCGAAGCAGCTGAGGTTGAAAAAGCAGGAAATAAAGGTCAGGTAAGAGCCCAGGTGGGCGGGTGGGCCAAACAGCAGCAAACCCAGAACTGGTTCGGTGTTTGCTGCTCTTCAGAGCTACCAGTTCTATAGAACCAGGCAGAACCAGTGGCATCCCACCCCTGGTTTTAACTGATATTCATCAGTCATTAGTTTCATTCAGTTTTCAAATGGCCCCATCATTTTCTATATCTGCTTGTCTCATTTTCACCTGTCCATATATCCATGTCATTTAGAACAGCGGACCCCAACCTTTTTTGTACCAGGGACCGGTTTCACGATTATTCATTCTTCCACGGACCGGTACCTGAGTAACGCGAGACTCCACCGCCATCGGGACGGCTCTTCTTTCGAAGCCCCCCCTCCCTTCGACGAAACTAAGGCGCGAGCACCCAAACGCCACTTTCCAACCGAAAACCCGGAAGCAACCGAAAACCCGGAAGCACCGTCAAAACAAGATGGCGGCGCCCAAGCTTTGAGGCCCGGTAAAAAATGATCCACGGACCG